TCATGCTCCCTGCCCCAACTAATCCAATTAGCAGCAGGGTAAATGTTTGTCTTTATTTATCAACACAACCATGGATTAAGAATAGCACAGGAAATGTTACAGACCACCAGTTGGATGAGAAAGATACTGTGTCCGCTTCCTTTGGCCACTTTAACAAGTCACTACAAATTTCTTGGCTTGGAATAACACTGATTTATTATCTTGCAATTCTGGGGGTCAGAAGTCCAACATGGGTATCACTAGGCCAAGGTCAAAGTGTCAGCAGAGCTGTACTCCCTCTGAGGCTGCAGGGGAGAATCCATTTGCTTGCCTTTCCCAGAGTCTAGTGGCAGCCTCATATCTTGGCTTGTGGTCTTTTCATCTCCAAAGCCAGCATGATAACACCTTCAGATCTCTTTCAGACTCTGTCCCACTGCATCTGTCATCACATCTCCATCTTTAACTCTGACACTCCTGCCTCCTCTTATAAGGAGCCATGAGATGACATCAGGCCCACCTGGATAATCCAGGATAATCTCCCATCCCACATAATCACATCTGCAACGTGCCTTTTGCCGGGGGAGGTAACGCACAGGTGTCAGGGTTTAGGGAGTGGATGTCTTCGTGGGGTCATTCTTCTCCCTGCCACAGATGCCTTGCTCAGAGGGCAGGTGCAGCCACTGATCCCCGTCCTGCAGGAAGAGCAGCAGGAGGGGGTGCCAGGTCCCTTTCTCGTTACTTCTGTGGCCTGAGCACTGGGACTGTTAAAAACTTCTCAGGTGGTTCCAACATGACCCCAAGTTTGAGAAACACTGTGACAGAAGACATGCCCAGAGCCTATGTTACTGTGATCCAGGATAAAATCTGCCGTGATTCCTGAAGAAGAAGGGTCAGAGCAGGCTGTCTCAGCCCTGGGCGCACACTACTGTCAGCTGGGGAGGTTTTTTAAAAAACTTTTTATTTTGAAATGAGAATAGGGTTGCTCAGACAGTACAGGTATTTCCTGAATACCCCGCTTCTCCTAATATTAGCATCTTATATAACCATGGTATATGTATCAAAACTAAGAAATCAACATTGCTGTGGTCTACTAGCTCCATGGAACTTTATTCAGATTTGCCCAATTTTTTCATTAACTCCTCTTTTTTGTTCCAGGATCCAATTCAGCAGTTCTCATTGCATTTAGTTATCATGTCTACTGAGTCTCCTACAATCTGTGTCCGTCTCTCAGGCTCTTGTTTTCTCAAGACCTTGACACTTTTGAAGACTACTGGTCAAGCAATTTCTAGAATGTCCCTTAACTTGGGCTTGTCTAATCTTTTCTCATGATTAGACCGAGGGTTAGGGATTGGGGGAAGAATACTACAGAGATGAGATGCTCTTGTCAATGACATCATAGAAAGGGGGGCTGTGATATCAACGTGGCCATTATTGACCTTCACCTTGACTGCCTGGTGTCTCCACTATAAAGATACAATGTGCCTTTTCCCATCCTCTGTTCATCAGAAGCAAGTCCCTGACCCAACCCACACTGAGGCCGAGGGGGGGTGGCAGGGGCTTCTATTCCCATCATTTAGGTTAGTTAATCCTTGCTTTTATTATCGCTTCACTGCTTTGTACAGAGAAGGTTGTAACGAGCTAGATTTGCCCAGAATTACCCAGAGAGTCAGTGGTGAAGCTGGAATTTGAACTCATGTCTGTCTGGTTCCAAAGGCCATCTTCTGATTTTCACTTCATTTTACCACCAAGTAAAGAGGAGCTCCCTCCCAGCTTGCCTAGACAGTGTTTTTCAAATTAATCCATAGATTCTGACTCATTAACGCGTCACGAGCTCAGTCTGTGGGTTGTATTTTAAATAACAAAATAAAGTAGAGGAGACTATAACAGAGCAGAATAGAAAACTTTTGTCTCTGTAAGCTTGCTGTGCTGAGGGATCTTTATCTTTACAGTGGGAAGGAAGATGGCACCCCCTCCAGACACACAGGGCTCTTAAGAGGCCTAAATGGACTGATATAGGCAAAGTGCTTAGGACAGAGGCTGACACAAACTAGGAATATGTAAATATTGTTATGAAGTATGCATGTGCATAAATGGGTTGTAAAATGTATGGGGTTGGCAGATCTATGAACTCCCCGCCCACTGTCTGTTTTTGCGAAGCTTTATGGCCGCACTCATTGTTACATATCTATGGCTGTTTTTGAGCTATAATGGCAGAGTTGAGTACTTGCAACTGAAACTGTGTGGCCGGCAAAACCTAAAATACTTACTTTCTGGCCCTCCAGACCCATGTCCTGCCTGGAGGTCATCTCATAACACAGGATGTAAGCCACTTCTTCCTGAGCCCTGTGGCCCTGTCCCCCAACTGCCCTGCCAGGCACTCTTGCCCACACAGACCGCGCCAGGCCATGTGCCTGCCCAGGTCTTCGGTACCCTCCTACCTGGGACTGACGTCCACACTTTGTGTATCTACCTCCACAGCTGTTCACAGAGGAAAGCTAGAAACATGGTGCACTGATCAGGGTCCCAGCAGAAAACAGATGGCCACTCAAATTAGATGAATTCAGAGTGCTTAATAAAGAGGCTATTTACAAAGGGATGGGCAAGGTGTGGGAAAGACACAGGGACAGCAGAGTCCTCAGAGGCTCGTTAAAGCAGAGCCCTTACCACCCTCAGCAGGGCCAGGCCAGGAGAGGGAGCAGTTCTGGAACCGGGAAGGAGTCAGTCAGTTAGGATGCTTTAAGGGGAAGCCGAGGCGTTCAGTCCAGGGACAGAGAGCCAGCTCCAGCTGAGCCCATGGGGAGGCAGCCAGGAGAATACCAACTTCACCTTCCTCCCTCCCTCCTCTCCAGTTGGGTCAAACAAATGGAAGTCAGAGGACACAGGATCCACTGGTGGTGCCCAAATGAGTCAGCTTATGGGCAGAGAGCAGGGTGCAGATGTTCGAAAGGGGCTCTGGAGGGGCAGACCTAAGATACCAGCACACACAGCACTGACATAGAAAGCCAGGGGAAGTTACCCTCCCATAGCTTCAGACAAGAATCCCCCGCTTCATGCCTGCATGTTAGGGGTGTGGCCCAAACAAAGGACTGCCATAGCTTCTACCTTTCACTACTTTCTCTTCCTAGATCTGTTGGACCCCAGATGGTTATCATGGGGTTAATCTTCCTGGATCTTATCATGTGAGAGGGGTGAAGGTCATGAACAGAGGCCCAGATAAGCTGCCTCTGGGAGTCTGGGAGTCTGGGCAGAGTCTGATTAATACGCAGAGATGGCTAGCCCAGTTCTTCCTCACAGCCCATCTTTCTTTCTCAGAAAGAAGCTGTGTTCCATTCATCTCTGCAGTCCAGCTAAGCCTAACACACAGGTGAGCCAACCTTTGGCCCCTTGGGAGAAAGAACCAGAGTGGGAAAGGCTACCTGGGCTGATGAATGTCCTCAGAGTAATCCCTTCTCACTGCCAGACCCTTCTCCCCCCTCCACTAGCCCAGACTTTCTCAGCTGGCATCTGGTATCTCACAGGCCTCCAAATCCAGCCACAGAACCACAGCATGCCAGCTGGAGGGTCTTTTCTGGCCATTCCCCCACCACGAACTTTACAGATGAGAAATCACAGGCTTACAGCAAGAAAGGGGCTGGCTCAGGTAGCTCAGCTGCCTCTCGGCAGAGCTGGGGCTAGAATTCAGGACTGGGTCTCTAATCAGTTTCCATCTTTCTTTCACACAAGATGGAACTTGAAGTCAATCTTGGAGCCCTGGGAATAGACTTGGCAAAAATTCTAAATGTGGTCTATACTCTTAGGTAAGTGTCTTTGTCCAGCTCAGCTGCTGAGACCATACACCTGGACCCTCAACCCCACAGGAGCAGTTCCCTATAGGCCGAGGAAGCACTGGCCTGAGTCAGGTGCAAGACTGCAAATCCACACCCACCTATTCGAGGCTGTTTTACCTTAAACAGGTTAATTTTTATGTTAATGAGGCTCAGTTTTCTAATCTTGCATATCTGGAGCTATTATCAACCACTGAGTTGTATTAACTCCATTATCACGCAAGCAAGTACCCCACGGTGTCCAGAGGTCAATAAATGACACTTGGTCTTTTTCTCCCATTTGGAGAACTGGTGGGATACTTGCAACTGCTTTTACAACAGGCCAGCGGCCAACTCATTTGAATGTAGCTGTTAGACCTCTGTGCTCTAACCCCAAGAAATGGGGACCCCTGAGATGAGGCCTTCTGATAGACCAAGGATTAGATCTCCTTTTCATGGACTCAAGTGCAATTAGCAAAATCTCAAGGTTCTCCTCCCTTCTCCCCTGGCCCCCTCAAATCTCTTCAGAGAAAGAAGAATTTAGACTTACAGGCCAGGTGCCTAGATTTTAAATCAGACAACTGGGTCCTGACAGGAAGCAAGTCACAGCTGTCATGCCTGATTATTTTTAGAGTTACTACTAAACTCTTTGTGCAGCTTGAGCTGCCACTGTTCGAGGCAAACAAAAAGACTTGCCATTTTACCCCGACAGCTCTGGAGCCATCCACCTCCTCGCCTTCATTGTTTCCAGCCCGTCTCTGGAAGGGGTGACGTGGCACCTTGACAATTTTATGGCGAGGAAGGCAGATCCCCTGGTTTGTTGCTGCACCTGGGGAATCAAAAGCACGGGAAGCTGAGCAAAGCCCGCTGCCTCCAGGAAGCCAGGGAGAAATATTCCAGGGGAAGGATCTGCTCCATAGCTTTCTCCACAAGAACCGTTATCTTTCATGAGAAGCAAAACATTGACGGTCAGTTAGCCAACCAATGAGAGTCCCTCTATGCAAATGCCAGGAGTGGCCAGTTGGTGGGTGATGTCACAGTCCCCTCCTATGATGCAATAATGTCACTACCACTGAAAAGGCCAACCTCTGGCTGCGACTCTCGCAGAGAGAAAAATTCACAGCAAGCAGAGCACCTTCTAGATTGCTCCTGGAGTGTGGGGACAAAAGTCTCTGCTGTCCAAATTACTGAATCCAGAAAAACAATGATCGTATGAACATGGCGAAAGAAATCCAGCTCAGGCCCAAGGTTAATGTCTCTTCTTACATCCACTTTTTACTGAATTACAGAAACAAGTTTAAGGAGCAACAGCCAAATACCTTTCTTGGCTTTAAAGAGTTCTCTAGAAAGTGCTCGGAAAAATGGAGGTCCATCTCAAAGCATGAGAAGTCCAAATATGAAGCTCTGGCCAAGCTCGACAAAGCCCGGTACCAGGAGGAGATGATGAATTACGTGGGCAAGAAGAAAAAGCGGAGAAAGCGGGACCCAAAAGCACCCAGGCGGCCTCCATCATCCTTCCTACTCTTCTGCCAGGACCACTATGCCCAGCTGAAGAGAGAGAATCCGACCTGGTCGGTGGTGCAGGTGGCAAAGGCCTCGGGGAAGATGTGGTCTGCACAGGCGGACATGGAGAAGCAGACGTATGAGGAAAGAGCAGCTCTCCTGAGAGCGAAGTACTACGAGGAATTGAAAGTCTACCGCAAAGAGCGCGAAGAACGCATCGCCAGGAAGAAGAGTCTCCGAGGGCCGGCGAGGAAGACCCGGTGCAGGGAGTGCGGGCAAGACGAGGCAGCTGAAGCTGGGGGATCCAGTTAGAAATAAAATGCCGTTCACCCGTACTGCCCGGCCCTGGTCTTGTGTGTGGCGACAGAGTGGCCACGGCGGCCGCTCTGGGGAGTGGTGTGGTGGAGATGGGGGTTCGGAAACTGATCCTGGGGAGGGGCGGCTTTGAGAGAAATGGCAAGTGTCCCAGGCACGTGTGTGGGCAGCCCCTGCAAGGCTTGGTTTGGGCGGGCTGGGGGGTCTCAGGGTATGGAGAAGCTAGGAGTCACGAAGGTAGGAGCATCCAGTTCCAAATGGTTACCCAGGTTGGAAGGCCCTGCTCAGGGCCACAGCCCTACTCAAGGCCGGGTAGAAGAATACCAGTCCTGCCAGCCTCTACCAGGAGGTCAGGAGCCTGGAGTGCAGGCGGGCCTTAGGGGCCTCGGTTTCTCCAGTAATTCCAGAACTGGTCCTGCAGCAAGGCTCAGGTACCATTAGTGGGCCAGTGGCGTTCCCTATCCTAGTCAGGATGAAGCTCAGGGCTGATTTTACAAAAACAGGTGCCTGAGTCTGCCCCAAGTCCTAGAAGTTGGAGAAAACCCTGTTGACATTTTGGTGGGCACCCACCCAGTCACTTTTCTGTGGATATAAGCATAGCACACAGAGAACAGAGAGGTGTTGCCTTTACCACCACCCAGCGTCGGGCACCCATTCCTTTTCCTCTTGCTCACAGCATCCTGACTCTACCGGACGAAGGGCTGATGGCATGGAATCCCCCTGGTCTCAATACTCAGTTTAGTGATAAGCATGTGACCCAAGTTGGTCGAATCAGAGTGGATTTCAGGACTTGTGTAAGAAGTCCTGGGGGAGGAGGCAGCCCTGGGGGCTGATGACAGTCGTTTGGCTCATTCTCAGGCTAAACTTTTCACTGAAGATGGGCCCACATATTTCAGTTTTTGTCTAAGATGGTTTGACTTAGGTTTTCTACCACTTGAGTCAAAACTGGTAATTTTATACCAATGGGATTTGTTCTGTGTCTGTCTGTACTGTAGCTATTTTTCAGGCAACAATGTACTGTGGGCAGTGTTTCGTACCAATCAATAGAGATTCACACGGAATGTTTTGAAATGGCTCTTGACTTCCTGACATCAAACAGACTGGGCCAAAATGCAAAACTGCTTATTTGTCACCAGGTTACACATATAACAGACTACCCTGGTCCCACCTCTAATCCTTAGTCCACAATGAACTTACTTACACTTACTACTCTACTGTTCGAACGTTTACTTTCAAAGGTAAAAAATACATATATTTGAAAAGTATTTTAGAACTGGGTGATCCTTTAGAAGATGAGAGGTAATATGGTGGAGTCATTTAGAAATTCAGGGTCTAGAATCAGGCAGGAATCCCTGGATTACGTAGGATTCCCATGTGCCAGACCCTGTGCTGGGTGCCTGGAGGTCCAGCAGGGACTACTGTTAGGTTCCTGCCCAGAGAGAACGTTCCTTCTGATGAGAATGGTGGACATGGGCATAAACCATAGCACTGCAAGGCAGGAGGTCTGCATAACATGCTGGAGGCGGGACGGGCACCCTCCAAGGCAACCACTGAAGCCTTCACTGAGGAAGCAGCTTTATGATACTTGGCAACCTCGAACTCATGCTGTCAAGGTTCCCATTCCCCATAGCCACTGTTCCACCTTGGCTCTGCTTCCCCTCCAGCCCAACCTCCACCCTCTCAGGAGACGTTCTCATTTTCTGCTTCATTGAGAAAATAGAGACCATCAGACATGCATTCTCAGTTTTCTTCCTTCTCAATGTGTAACCCATACCCATCCTTTCCTCGTCTCATGGAGAGTTGTAACTGTCTTGCTACCTACCCCCTTCCCCTGCCTCCCTCAGGCCTTGGTCCTCACTCTAAAGATGCTGACCTCTCAGCCTCTAAGCTTACATAGGTTAGCTCGGTGTCACAATACAAGTGGCTCCCATCTTAACCACAGGACCTTGGGCAGGCTCTCATTCCTGTGTGTCTCAGGTCTGTCATCTATGCGATGCGGTAATGCCTGCCTTACAGGCTGTTTTAGTGATTAAATGATGTAACACATGCAAAAGTGTTTGCCATAGTCCTTAACACATAATAGGGACTGTGGTGGACACCCTCCAGGGAGGCTCTCCCACGGCTCCCCCCTCCCCACCCCCATTGTATGGTCTCCTCCCATTAACTGTGGGTAGAATCTGCTTCTAGCCAATAGAGTAAGGCAAGTATGACAGGGTGTAACTTCTTTGATTATGTGATGACATATAAAACTCCATCTTGCTGGGTGATTTGCTCTAGGAATTATCCTTGTTGGCTTGACAAAGTAAATGGCCATGCTGTGGAAGCCCACGTGGCAAGGAGCTGTGGGAAATCCCTAGGAGATGAGGGTGGCCTCAGACCAACAGTCAGCAAAAAGCTGAAAGTCTCAGTCCTACAACTACAAGGAACTGCAGCAACCACATGAGAGGGGAAGCAGGTCCTTCCCCAGCTGAGCACCAGGTGAGGACTCAGCCCAGGCTGCCACCTCCATTTCAGGCCTGTGAGACCTCAAGCAATGGGCCCAGCTAAGCTGTTACTGGATTCCTGACCCCCAGAAACAGTGAGATAATAATGAACGTGTGTTGTTTGAAGCCAATCAATTTGGGGTCATTTATTACCCAGCAATAGACAACTAATACAACACTCAATAAATGCCAGCTGCCTTATAATTCTAGAAGAGGCTGTCTTTAACCATATTTCTCCCTCCAGCCTCCAACCTACCTGTTTAATTTCCTCTCCTTTGTTACCAATTGCTTCAGTTGGAGGAGGCGCCCGGTGCTAATTCGATCCTGTCTTGAACTCCTTGGTAGTGATTCTAGTTGCGTTGTCTGGTTTCCAGCCTGACCGGTGGGCTCTTGGTGGGCAGGGGCTGTGTGTTACAGCACACGCCTTTCTGGGAAGAGGCCCCCAACACAGCTGGGCACCCGCCCTCAGGCCACCCATTTCTGGTTTCCTGTGATTAATTATGTGAATGTGGGTGGCCAAGTCAGAGTTTTGACAACAGTTTGCAACGCCCCTGCTGAAAAATAACTCCATTAACATTTCTTTATTAAGGGCCAATAGGAGGGTGTGAATCTGCTGGCTTTAAATGCTGCAATGTAATGACAGTGAAGGGGGAGGTAGGAAGGGGGAGGAAGGAAGGAGGAGGAGGAGAAGGGGGAGCCAGGCTGAGATAATGGGTGACAGGAAAAGCAGGCGGAAAATCTGGTGTGGTGCCAGCGTTCTAGACCCGTTTGGCTGGGCTCAGGGGCCCCCCTGCCCTTGGGGAGAGGAAGACAGAGTCTTTGGGCCCATCACCCTCTTGTCGATGACTGAATCACTCCACTCTGATCCTTCTCACCTAGAGCCTTTTCCTGCGTTCATTAACTCATTCATCTATTCATTTATTCAACAAATATTTATGTAAATCTTAGGCCTGCAATAGACCAGGAACTGCTCTGATGCTATGGGTAGAGCAAGGTCCCTGATCTTTTACATCCCAGTGAGGGGGAGACAAATAAATATGTCAACAAATAAACACACCAGGTCATTTTTTGACAGTGTCAAGTGTTCTGAAGAAAAGAAACCAGGGCAATGAGATAGATAATGATAAGTGGGGTTGAGGGCACCTTAAATAGGTACTCAGAGATGACATTTAGGTTTGGATTTAGAGGACAAGAAGGAGCCAGGCATGTCAGGGTCTGAGGAAGAACAGCAAGTGCAAAGGTCCTGAGGCAGAAGCAAGCTTGGCATATTGAAGGGACAGAAGGGAGGCCAGAGTGATTGGAGGTGTTCATGTGCTGGGGAGATGAGGCTGGAGGGGGGGGGGGAACTTGTCAAGGAGTCTATTTTAAAATCTAAGCACAATGGAGCAGCCGCAGAGCATGAAGAGCCATATGCTTCCATCTTGACTTCCAGTTACTCGTCACTCTCGAGTCTTTGGAGACTATCAAATGTCAATGAAGGGATGCCTGTCCCTCCCAGGTCTGTGAGAGAAAGAGGCATGGCTAGCAAATGCCGAATCCAAACCCTGGGCATTTTTCTGTTTTGGAGGAGAGACTACCTGGTGTTTCTTGGAGCAGCTGTAAGCTAAAAATCTGTTATGGAACGTCTCCCCCTGGGATTCATTTCCCTAGGAATGGGAGGAAAAGGTGGGCGCCGCTGGCAGAATACTCCAGGGGAACATTCCTTCCTGAGTCTCCTATTTCCATGTGAATTAGCCACCACTAGCCAGGTGGGTCTCAGCTTTGAGCCTGCATTGGCATCACCTCCAAGCCTAGTAAAACACAGACTGCTGGGCCCCATGCTTTGTCTGATTCAATGTTTCTGGGAGCTCCACCTATACTTTGCATTTCTGAAAGTTCCCAGGTGGTCCTGATGCCACTGGTCCCAAGACCACAGGGGAATGCTGTCCCTCCTATGGCCTGACTTATCTGGTGGAGAGTTTGGGAGGAGGAATGGCCGGGCTCTTCTTTTTTCCACCCACCCCCTCACTGCGGAGTGTGTTCAGGTCTACTCTCCAGTTGGTTCATCAGCAGTAAAGGTGACAGGCTGAGCCTCAGCTGTCTTTCTCCTGCACCTGCCAACTGACTCTGAATTTAACAGGGGAAGAGGTATATTTATTTACTGGGGTTCCCTCAAATCCCAACAGAGAAGTTGATCCCACTTGCAAACAATCAGTGCTGGGCCACATGGGAACACTGGGATCTTAGGGCTGACTTTAGCCTTCACTAAAGGCTGAGGGCCAGGTGCATGGGGAGGGTAAGTCATCAGGCACCCATTGATCCTGCCATGCACCTCTGATCACACTCCTACAACCAGTACCTGCTACAGGTGTGCGGAAGAGTGAATGAAATGCCTGGGACCTCACTGTAAACCAGGTCTGGTGTGCAAGAAGCGCCCAATGAGTGGGGGTGCCTGACCTGGATTTAAAGGATGGCTTAAAGAAGGTGAGAACCACACACGAAAAGCAGTCAAAACAGGAGAAAGAGAATGTCCAA